TTTAGTCGCGCTTGACCGCACACAGCAGCACACCTCCTGTCAGTGCACACACGCACGCACGCACGCACCCACGCAAGATGATTGGTGGTGGGTGGTGATGATGATGGTGCCACCTGATTGCTTCTGCCACTTCTAACGGTGACTATGATGCACTAATGCTTGAAAGGGATAAAGACGATGTTGTAAGGTGACAACCGACGATGATGGAGAGCAGAAAAAGGCTCTAATAATGCTGCATTAACTAATGAGGTTAAATGGCTTCACATCACTATTCTAAGTAGAGGTGCGACTGGATGTCCAATACTTACGTCTATCCAGCAAGACATCAAGACGCCCTCACACTTCTTTCACAACTTAAAAGCGTGTCGATTTCAACGCGTCATCACCACCATCTGATGGGGCTTTACACTGCCATACACTGCACCACTAAGACTACCAGTGAAACAGGCCACTTCTGTTCGAAACGAGAGCACGGAGGGCGCTGCATCCAGCGCACCATGGGGCTGGCCGTAGTGTACCATGGCACGTTTGTTGTCCATCGCTAGCGAGCCTTGTCGGACAGGCCGAGCTGCACTGGTGATGTTCTGGGGTAGCGCCTACCTGTGCTGTTAAATGGACTACTAGATAATGCTTGTCTTTATTCCAAATAAACACCAACTCCTCTCCTATCATGGTTTGCGAACCTATAGCGAATTGGCCGACCTCTCTTACTGTGTTTGCTTACTCGGAGCAAAGTTTATGCTACTTATCATTGTATGTGCCCTGTAATACCTGTCTGATTGAATGGAACTTCTGAGTGACAGGTGGGCAGACTGCACCAATCTCTCAACCGAGCAGACGTCAGCAATCCTCATGGCGACGACAAACACTAATCTCTCCTTAATATGCTCTTAACATGTTAATCCATCCCCCTCATACTAGGTGATATAAGATGCCTTCCTCAAATCAAATGTCTCGATTCAGGGAGCCGAATCGGGAAGAAATTAACGCATTTGCACTTTGCACACCTCTTCTTACGACAGTTACCACATTTGCAAAGCAGACCAATCTGTTCTCATCAAATGTGGCTGATTGTATTACCTTTCAAAACAAAGGCAGCCTTGTGCTCTCCCTCTCCTGCTCTTCCCTCGTCACTTGAGAGTAGTTGATTTGTAGAATGGACGGTCATTACAAACACAGAGTGTACCCATGTGGCTGCCAAGGTCTTAGTGCCGACATAGATTTCAGCTGGAAAGAAAGCACCTTCCTCCCAATCTCACAGATGGGATGGCGAACGATTGTAAGCAGGTCGCAAGGTGCTTTGTTCATTAATTATCTGCATAGACAAAACTCTTCGCTACCCGTAAGTGTGGCTTTGACTTTCAAAGCTGAAAGGGAACATGGAGCTAAGGCAGCACAATCGCGACAAGAATTTCGAGACATTCGTGGTACAATGAAACCCCAAGGTGAACAGGCAGTCAAAGTCTTACCACCTGCCCCTGCCTTTACCACAAGACACTGAGACACTAGTCAATTCCCTCTGCTTCTGGCTATGCAGCTTCCATTGGCAATCGCACACTCATTTCAAAACAGTGCATGTAGGCACGCACGCTCAAATGCCTCGCGCTGTGACCCCCACTCACTTGACCCTTCAATTCGCAGCAATTGTGATGCGTTTCATAAAATGCCTATGTGCCCATATTACTAAATGTTATTTAGCATGATTTTAGGTAATGTTTCATAAAACTGTTTGTTCTTTTGCCGTACGAGCGCAACATGTTGCGTCGACTCCTTGCAGAAGCAGCTAACAGAGCTTTCCTTACCTCTACGCTCATTGAGGTGACATTTGCAGTGTAAAATAACTCATTCTTTTGGTTTGATAATAGGTCTCTTTGATTTCACAGCCATGAACAGGGCCCTGTTTAGTTTGGAGCACCGCCCGAAACCAGAGAGCACTATTAACTAGAAGTTGAGTAAATTGTCTACTGCGATGATTTCTGCCGCTGTTCGGGACAGCTAATTTGCAAGAATAAAATGCCTACAGTTGCCTTGTTTGTAGAATTACAGAGAGCCATCACCTGAAATGCACGGCAAACTAGGCCTACACACCGCTTCCTTCAACAGTAGGGCACAACATTTACTGGTCTAGGATCCCAACACTGACGGCAATGTTTTCATGACTACAAGCACCATGATAAAAGCATATGGAGGAATGGGAAGAAATGAAATTGTGCTGGGCAACTACAGCACCTTGACCCATGTGATTTGTGGACATTTATGGAACCTCAATAGATATTGCAAAGAGTCAGTTCTGTGGTTACTATATTTGTTTTAAGGACTAATTCCAGAATATAAAGTGTGCAACGATCTCTCTTGCCACATCTAGTCTTAATTAGGTTTTATGTTTCTATCGCGGGAAGCGTGATAGGGTTTTGCGGCAGAGAGAGACCAATGGATCAGAGTGCTTGCGTGCGCCCACTGACTCAACACGCTGATTGTGCCTTCAAGTCTCACACTGAGCTAATTTATGGGACCGCAAGGAAGAAAATTGTTAACGGCGAGCTCTGTAG